TCAGTAATCGTTTAAAAATTCATTTCTATATTCTCCGATAGACGGCGGAGAGTAAATAAAACGCCAATACTATACTTTCAATCTAAAGTGGTAGTTTTGCGTTCGAAGCGTAAATGGAATCTGGAGGCAATCGACGAAAACCACTGGCGATTTATGAGAAATTAATATGACATCCGTGCAGCCACTGCAAAGTGGAACCAGCCTGCGCTGTATCGAATTGGCGTGAAATAAATAAACCGTAAAAATCCTACCGGCGTATCAACTTTATAACAATTCCACCGTTTTGTTTGAACCGCGTCTGCCTGACGTATAACTGAAGCATTTTTATCCTCCCCGACGCTTTAACTTTTAATCACGCTGTTCGCCGAAACAGCGGTAAAAAGTCATTTACCACGGTGCGCAGCAGTAATTAATATTAGCGTCCTTAAAAGACGGAAACTTTTATTTTTCGTCCCGTTAAATTGTCGAATTTTTATTTCAAAATGAAAACCGTATCGAGGTGACACGTGCAAATTTTTCTACGGAAATATTGTAACAATAAAATTTATTTTTCCGACGGATCGCCAATAATATTGAAATTTACTTGGGGTGAATAATTTCAAGAACAGATCGAGGAGAATTGAGCGGGCAAGATTCCAAGCACTTTTCGAAATAGTCTGATTACTATATCGGCTAGAATTTATGTATCTCTGAAATATGCTTAGATAATTCAGAAACGATCGCACGAGCAGAATTACTTTTGAAGGCTGTCCACTGATTACCGTGGACTGTTCGATGGCCACGATTCGTGTGACGATTTATACGAGCGATGATTTGTATTATATACAACGGAGAGCTCATGGTTAAACGTTGGCCAGTTCCGCAGTTCTTCTTCTGAATAATTCATCCTCGTGAATAATTCATAAGTGGAATGTAGTGAAGGGATGAACAATGAAACGGTCGAAAATGCGGTGTAAGATTTGACAAATTTATCGCTTTATGGTTTATTTACAAGCGCGTCGCCGTTGCTAGAAGCGCAATCCACTTAAACGGCGAATCAATACTTTCCGGACTGCGGCCGTGATGCACGTGTATGCACGTAGAAATAAATGAACCTGAGGGTTCGTGGTATTTTATTATCATTACCTCGCGTTCACCTTTCTATGATTCTGTCATGCGTCATTTTCTTTTTTTTTTAATCCAGTCTGGCGAAGAACCATTTATCTCCACCGTGAGACGTGTGAAACGAGCAATTGAACTCTCTCGAAGGTGTGATTGGTTGTTTTCTGAATTTGTTCACATCCTCTTGAGAGAAAAATGGGGTGTACATGTTAAGGTAAATTTGTTAGGCAGGTAAGTCCAGTGGAACGTGTGTGCCTGGTTTAAATTTGAAGTGAAGGCGAATATGTATATATATATGAGATACAGAAATATCTTGCTTCACGTTCAATACAGATCTCGAGAAATTAGGCAAACGAGGGAAATTCCAACAAACGACGAAGATATGTTTATCGAACAGTACAGCGTCTCTGTAGAATACCTAACTCGCTTACGCTACCTAGCCATTCAAAGCAGCATCGGCGGCGAACACCACGTAGCACAATAAATTCATTTCAGCAATCCTCTAATCAAGCGACGATCCTTTAATCACTTTGCACGAGGAGTGCCTGGCTTTTACAAACGAGCATCGTCGTCGCGTTACCAATATACGTATATACGCACCATCCAGCAATTCGTCTAGAAAATTCGCGTGGAAAACATCCGCGGTAGAAATCCTGAAAATCCCGTGGACTCGGTTCTACTTGCCGCAGCCATTAAGCTCATGCAAATGAAAAAAATCTCGTAACGAACTTCGAACTATCAACTGGACGCAAACTACACGCGACGAGTCGTTCCCTCTAATATAGACCTCCGCCGGGTAGAAAACAAAGAGGCAGACTATTGTAATTACTCTGTTCTCCGCCACCGTGAAAACACACATACACATACACAGAGAGAGAGAGAGATACACATGTACAGACGTGGACAAAGGCAGAGGGAGATAGGAGAGAAGCGTGCGAAACGATTCTTCCCAGCAGTGTACTCTTGCTGATCCACGGGAACGTTCGCATACCCTCCTCACAACTGCTCTGCGGTCTGCATGGGAGATTTATATTTGCATTTAAAATCTGCACGCTGTGGCACATCTGTCAAACGATGCATATTGAAACCTTTGCGCGTGGTAGTTACAGGCCAACACCCCGTGTGCTCTCTCTCTCTGCCTTTCCTTGTCTCTCCCTTGTTCTCTGTCTCTCCCTTGCTTTCTGTCTCTCCCTTGCTCTCTGTCTCTCCCTTTCTCTCTGTTTTCCCTTACTCTCTGTCTCACCCTTGCTTTTTCTCCCGCTCTGTCTCTCCCTTGTTCTCTGTCTCTCCCTCGCTTTTCCTCTCGCTCCATCTCTTTCTCTGTGTCCCTCTCCGTTGGGTTTCCATCACCTTCCGCGTTGTTTCTCCAAAATTTAACCGCTCAGCCACGGACAGTCTAGCCGTCCTCGGATCAGCCGGTTAGCCACGCCTACGTCACCCTGCAGCTTGCGAAACTGCAGGCGAGCTAGGATGACTCCTACTACTGTGCGCAAATCCCCCGCTGTGAGGACTCACCGTTATCACAGTGATTTTCAGGCGACGCGGGGATAAAGCTCGATTGCACGCCAGTTTTCCAAGCGTTGATGAGAAGGTAAAATAAAAGTGGAGGGTTCGCTGTGCTTTTACACGTTCCCCCCGTGCGCTGACCCACATGCGGCTTCTTTGAATTCGTGTGTCCGGTGACCTACATGTGTTTCGGTGCAGGATTTGTAAAAAGGGGAAAATTGAATTAGAAGTGTTGTTTTCACGGATGGAATATTTTCGAGCAACGCACGTGTCGTTCCTGTGAATTGTTGATTAGGATTGCTTCCGGGATATGCGTTTTATGCAGATAACGAACGTGCTAATAAACCGACTAAATGACAGAAAAAATTATGTATTTTCACAAAATTTGCATAATTGTAACACCTTCGTAATCGTTAAATTCTTTGTAAAAATTCTACTGTTACACTAACAGATATTACATTAAAAATCTAAACACAACTTCAGAAATACGAACATTCCGTGAAGGAATTTCTTCAATTAAAACACTTTAACCGTCCATCTAAATCGAATATCAAGCTTTTCAACGTCAAAAAATCCAGTAATTGAACAACACCCCTGTTCTTCCTTCCATCTCCAAACAGAAACAAAAAGCCTGGAAAACGGAGAAAAACTCTCGCAATCCTCTGTATGCATTGGTTGGAAAATCGAGCGAAACGTGCGGTTCTATATCGATCACGAGATCCGAGACCATAATTTCGGCCAGCAAGAAAGAATTGATTCCACGTGCACTCGTTCGCGCGCCGCCTGCCGAAACAGTGTGAATCGTCGCTGGCAAATTTACCGTCGCTGTTTTATAGATGCTATTTGCGCTGCGGGGACGCGAGAGGATTACAGCACGCCAGCTTTCGAGTGTGAAAAAAGAGCAAAAAGGGTCACGAAAGAAAGAGGGAGAGAGAGATAGTGAGAGATTGAGAGAGTTGGAGAGTGAGAATGAGAGAGTGAGAGATAGAGTGATAAAGAGTGTGAGAGAGAAGAGAGTGAGATATTGAGTGAGTGAGAGATTGAGAGAGTGAGAGAGAAAGAGAGAAAGAGAGTGAGAGAGAAAAAGCTAGCTGGTCACCTTATTATCCTCGTACATAAGGCGTTTCCTCCAGAACTCCGGTGAGTTCTACCTATACTTTTGAAACACCCTGTATACATATGCATGCAAGAGTAACGGGCGTTGGAAAAGGGGGCAAACGATACGAATGCCACCGAGGGATGAAAGTTCCGCGTCAACCCTGGAAGTCGAAGTTGCTAAGCTGTTCCGACGATTTGTTTGCGCACCGGCAAGTGGCCACGCTGGTACATTTTTCACCGGAACCCGAGGAGTTTCTCCGCCAAGTTTTCGTTTACTTCTGCTAATTTACCTCCGCGTACCGGAACCGAGCAACGATCAGCGTCTCCCGGTAAATTTTCGTGTAATATGTCTTTCAGACGGTGAATTTGTGACGCCTTCGCTGCGGTGGTTTGTACCGTTTTTTGTTTCTCTCTCTTTCTCTCTGTGCTTGGAAACGTTCATTTCGGTTCCCCTGTGAATTTGTACGCTGTTAATTCCGCGAGGTAGATTAATTTTAGTTATTTCACTTCATTCTCTTATTCACTATAGACGATTTTCCAAAGTTTTCGTTATTACTACTGATTACTGGACCCTCAAACACTCTGCAATAAACCATCTACTTCAATCCTCGAAAGGCGAATGGTTTTAGACGGACGCGGGAGACGAATGCAGGGTCATTATTGACCCGTAGCAAAATTTCTATCGTACACGGGTTCTAAGAAGGAATTGTGTACAAATCTGTATACTTTCAACGGTATATATTTTATATTTTTCTTGTTTATTTACATTTGATACGCAAAATAGGTGTATTTCCTGTACCAAACGTAATCTGAGCTTCCTGACTTTATCGCCGTTGAGTCAAAATGACCCTGCATTCGTCGTCACCACCCCTTACACTATGGATGGAAGGCCATCTTCACGCCGCGCGTCAGTTTTTCAAAAGTAGTTACTTCAGTTTATTGATTTTGGTTCAGAGTTGATCTTTGGAATAAAAGAGTTACTTTTGTGAACGGAATACTGAAATTTTTGAAGTCCCTGTTAAGCTACGGCATAACAGTACGAGGGTTAAACACACAAAAATGCTCACTGAAAGCAGTCAAAAGTACACGCTCGCACGTATAGACGGTGTTACAAATTAAACTACCAGATAACGCAGCTTTGACTCAGGTTTCAAACCCTTATCATCTCAGGTTTCTGTCGATACGTATACTCGAAAACATAGAACCTCCGAGGTCTGACCGATCCCGCCGCATATCTCTTTCACCAACTATACGTATACTCGAAACTCCAGCATTGAGGACGCGCGCACACTCACCTGGTGATAAGTTGATGCACTCTTGGCCACTGACCCCGCGACCTCAGTATCCTGACCGTTCCCAGAAGCGACAATCTGTGCGACGGTGAGACCTCCATGGCTTTGAGATAGTACTTGAGGGAGGGTAGCCATTTGCCTGAAGAGACGAACGACGATTTGGCGTGAGTATAAAGCCGTACCTGTGGCCGTTACGCGGCCAGAGTTACCGATCTTGTTTCGCTACTTTAAACTACTTTAACCCGTACTACGGACCGTCGCGACGGGAACAGCCTGGCTTTATCCTTCCTTGAGCTATTCTACCCGTTTCACCGAACTCACTTACCATTCTGGTACAGCCACGATGCATATTCGGCGAGATGGTCGGGACTTCTTGGTTGCAGCCGGACCACGTGTCGCAGAAGTATGCCAGCGGTTGGTCCTGTAACCAATCTCGCCAGGACCAAGTAGGCTGGCGTGTAGGCCGGGTCCAGGGACACGCATTTTTTCAGCATTCGTATACATTCCTCCGTCCTGTTCGTTTTCCTGTCAAACAGAATTGTAGAACGCGTTACATTAGCTGGCCTCGTGAAATATTCAAGGTGTAGCGAATAGACGATGAGTTTGGGTGATACACGGTAGGTGGTGTGGACCGCGAAAAATTTTAAAGGACGATAGGAAAATGCGAAGTGCTTGGTGTGTATTTTGAAGAAGGTATTTTAAGATGTATAATATTTATTCTTCCGCGTAACGCTGTTAACCCTTTGCACTCGGGGGTGTATACTAGAGTAAACTATTTTATTTAAATATTCCACGTATTCTCTATTTCACCGTGATGAACAAATTCACGGAGGCCCGTAGATCTGTTCTCTGTCTTCCTTAATTATTTACCAAGTGACGATTATTTAACGTCGCTTCTCAGTCGCCACTCGATTGCAAAGGGTTAATATGGAATTCGCGTTACAGAAAATCGTGCTGTACGAGAATGTTTCTTGTACAACTAGAACAATCTGAAATAACACGTTTGGAATTTTATTTTCGATGTTTTTTAAATAAGTGACATTATATACGCGTTAGACGAGGAATCGCGTGAAATGAGAATAGTAGTTACGATATATTTGGGGCGTTATAGGAATTGCAATGCGATTAAGAAAAAGAGATCATACAAATTCTGAAGGAAAAGTGTACCAGCAGCCAAAAAGCGACGTCAGTGGAAATTCATTTGAATTTTTGCGTTATAGAGGCTCCTACTGTAGTTCGATCATTTACGCATGGCTGCAATTGTACAGCAAGAGATGAGCTGAATTTAAATTTGATTTATGCTACTAACGAACAGTTTGGTAATTTTTTCAACCAGGAAGTACGGCGAAGTTTTCAATTTTCATCTTCTTGGTTAATACACGGCCGTTATTCGATTAGTTCTATAAGTAGATAATTTAATAAATGCTGATTGAATATTTTCATTCGCGTGAAAATTAGTGTCCGTATACGTTTAACAATGATTCATCGGCAATTGCATTTCGGTGCGCTTCACTCGCGTTGACCTATTCCGATCGTTGTATTACGATCACTCTAGTGTACAGTAACACGATCATGATCAAGATATGAATGCGTGTACTTGCTTTTCACGCGTTACGTGCGCTCTCGTGTACATCATTTTGCATCCTGGACGCTTCATCGTTCCGCGAAATGGCCGGTGTCCATGACGCTAGTATCGCGTGTACGGGTTAATAGAATTTTCCCTAGGTGACCTGCAGAATTCCAAACCTAACGTGCAAACATAATGAAATGGAGTGATATGGAACACTTGAAACTGTAATCTGAGTACTAACTATCGATTTTCAGACGCGTGCTTCGTAAATTGTACACTGTACGCGGTGAAAGGTGGGCAAGAATTTTGTGGAAAGAAGTTAGAAATTTTAAGAAATATTTCATTTATAGAAACGAAGTGTTAGGTGCACAAATTAATTCGGTGCCTTTTTTTACATTGTCTTGACGACTTTATCGAATAAAAATCGCCATATTTTTTCAGAGAGGGAATTCTTTAGTTACCTGATAAATAGAGAAAGAATATAAAAAATAATGGAGATGATTTTGAACATTAAAATTGTGCTTGATCTTTTGTACGTAAGTACTGAAACTTGTGAAAAAAGGGACCAAACTAATTTGTACACCTAGTAGGTTATTTTTTAGCCTTGTAACATTCTTGCGACAGCTTTCTAACAAATCTATAAAAAGCTTCCAGTAAATGATCCCAAACTTTCGACTAATAGTGTCCACTAAAAAAATTTGTCTCCTTTCACTGAAACCTTTGAATTTTTAAAATTTACTGATTTGTTTAATGCATTCGATCTCTACTAAAATTCCAGTCCCAAACGAATTTAATTTTTAGAACTTCAATTTTCTCAATTTCTGAACAACTCAGCTAATACAGTCGATCTCTAAACAACCTCGTTGAATCCTTTCAATTTTTTTTTACTATTTCGATTAATACATTTGATCTTTACTAAAATTCCAGTCCAAAACCAATTTAATTTTTAGAACTTCAATTTTCTCAATTTCTGAACAACTCAGCTAATACAGTGATCTCTAAACAACCTCATAGAATCCCTTCAATTTTTTGAAGTTTACTAATTTATTCAATGCATTCGATCTCTATTAAAATTCCAGTCCAAAACCAATTTAATTTTTAGAACTTCAATTTTCTCAATTTCTGAACAACTCAGCTAATAGAGTCGATCTCTAAACAACCTCGTTGAATCCTTTCAATTTTTTGAAGTTTACTAATTTATTCAATGCATTCGATCTCTATTAAAATTCCAGTCCAAAACCAATTTAATTTCTAAAACTTCAATTTTCTCAATTTCTGAACAACTCAGCTAATACAGTCGATCTCTAAACAACCTCATAGAATCCCTTCAATTTTTTGAAGTGTACTAATTTATTCAATGCATTCGATCTTTACTAAAATTCCAGTCCAAAATCAATTTAATTTCTAAAACATCAATTTTCTCAATTTCTGAACAACTCAGCTAATCCAGCGACCTCTAAACAACCTCGTTTCATCAACCTCTCGAATCCCGCAATCCGTACCACTTGGCGAGCCGCGCAATCCTCGAAAGCTCCGATGCCAGCGATTTGCAACAGCGGAAAATTCCTTCGCCGGTTGAAAAGTCGGAAAATGTATGGACAATGTTTCCTCGCGAGCCGAAAACGAGATGAAAATGGAGTAGAGAAACGGCTGTAGGCAGCTAGTGGACGATGATACCGCCGCTGACGCGTGCACTCCTCTCTCTCTCCTGCCGTCAATTAAACTTTCATTTATCAAGTAGGGGGTGTTAATTAAAGTTTAATTTTGACCACATAGCCGGAATTACATTGCCGCGGTAAATTTATCACGGGGCACGCAGGTCGGTCCACCTCGATATACCATTAATAAAATAGGAATGCGTCAGATTCGGGATTCCTTCTGTAACCCTGTTTATCCAACGCGATGGAAGACTCCGTTAGACCGCGGGGCATTCGACACAACGAGAATTATCTTTAATCTCGGCCTATCTACACCTCGCAACAGCCGGTTCTCGGTTTATTTTTTACGCCGATGGATGAGTTTACCTCTCTTCTCGTTCTGAGTTTCGAGAACGTAACCATAGATACGCGAGGGAAACACCTTTTCTGCACTTTTTACCGATGCATTCGAGGTGGTAGAAGTTTGTTTGAAATGCTTTCTGTGCACGGTTTTACAATTTGTTTCGGGTAAATTTTTGCGATGAATAAACAGCGATGAGTTGAAAGTATTCGGTACGAAGCAGGTAATTTTTATTCAGAAAAGTGGTAATGCATACTTGGTTTTATGCTGGGCAGGTTAATAACGTGTAAGTATGACGAATGTAATTAATCCTTTAACTACTAAGAACGTGTACGCACGTCCGGTGTAATTAGATCAGTACGACATATTTCTGTCGCTCGGAGTGACTAATTGCATTTTTTCCAACTTTAGTGTTAAAGCATGTGATTGGTGCTTAGCTTTTCGGAAGGAGAAAACTTTTCGTAAATATCGTTTCACTTTAATTCTGTTCCATTTTAGCTTCTCGGAAGCTCGTTTTGAAATGTCTCAGCATTGATTTGTCAATGAAATTTCTACTGAAACTTCTAAATTAAAATTCCAAAAAAGAGAATTTTGCCAACTTTAGTATCAAAGCTTAGCTCTTCGCAAATAAAATAAATTTAGTAAATTATGTTTGATGGACTTAATCACTTCCTATAATATTATACTGCGAAACGTCTCAACACTGACTCGTCAACGAAATTACCACAGAAAAATTCTAAATTAAAATTCCAAAAAACAATTTTTGCATTTTTCCAACTTTAGTATCAAAGCACACAATTAGCGCTCAGCATTTCGCAGATAAAATAAATTTCGTAAATTTCATTCGATGGACTTAATCACTTTTCATAATATTATACTGTGAAACGCCTCAACATTGACTTGTCAACGAAACTGCCACCGAAACCTCTAAATAAAAATTGCAAAAAGAGAAAAATTTCGTTCTGCACCAAAAACGTGTCTTTTAACTTTCAATTCTACAAATAAATCGATCACCCACTGACCTGTAGAGTAGACCAAGATTGTAATGTGCGTTCACGTGGCCCGGATGGGCACGTATCGCTGCCAAAAAGTGTTGCTCCGCTTGATAGCCGACGGTGAGTGTTCCGAGGTTGTTATGCGCGCTGGCGTACGTCGGCCACAGCCTGTAATCAAATAAACGCAGCTTATTTACAAAGTGATTAATGATCCGGAGGAACACGGCACATTGCCGTGCATTTAATCGTAAGGGGTAATTCCGTTTCACCGTATAGCAATACGTGCGCGTGTAATAATTGGCAATCGAGCTGATCAACGGAATAATTTTCATTTCGGTCTCTCGCATCTTTTCCCCTTTGCAAATTTCCACAGTATCGCGGAAAATACCCGCGTGTCTTCCAACACGACGGTCAAACGCCCGGAAAAAAATAACAATGCAATTTCGAAAGAGTTTCTTTTTTTCCTTGTTCCTGTAATATCGAACGTTTTGGCGAGAATTGCCGTTTCCTCGAACAGTACGTTCTCGTTAGATCCTCGTGAATACACGCGTGTTACAAATTCCACCGTTAGTATTAGAGTTCTAAGAGCTTACTATGCCGTATAGATTTCTCTTTGTTGTTACGAACGCAGAAATATTCTTTCTTTTTAATACTATATATAATGTACCGTATAAGAAGCTTTTAATGAGGTGGTACATGACTATATATCGTTAAATATCCAAGCTACTGTGCTAACTCATTATCAAACCATCTTATAAATCCCT